AATGAGCTGTAGTTCACCTACCAGCAGTCTCAAGAGGGGTTTCACCCTGAAGAGTCAGTCAAAGCCAGATAGTGTCCTCTATTATACATTATTTTGGAGTATCTCAAGGCTTACCCTGCACCCTACCCAAGTTCGATCAACATTAAACTACAATGACTGTGGAATTCTGGCTACTGTGTACCTATGGGATATAGAACCTGGGATAAAACTGCCAGCCCAGTCTGTGGTTCATGTTACTACACTCTATATAAATTTTACTTTCACTGGGGCTGAACACATACCATTCCACAACTTCTGCAATGCCATCCTTGAGAACAGTACAGGATCTGATGTTGCTGATCTTCTGGAAAAAGCTAACTTTTCAGCAGGGGCGGACTGGCAACTCATGGAACCCCAGGCAATAGGGGATCATGGGGCCCCTGTGTCCTTGTCCACACTCAAAGCACATCTAAAAATGCCTATAAAAAGGTACCAGGGGCATTTCATGGGGCCCCCTACTGACCCCGGGCCCTCGGGCAGTGCCCGAGTGCTCGAGTGGTGAGTCCACCCCTGCTTCTCGGTTATCATGCTATCCCTTTGCCTTCAAAACTCTCTGAGATACTGAACAAGTACGTAGATTGAGAGTTTCAACTTCACCCCAGCTCTGATGGCCACTTGCTTCTTCTAGGTCTGTGACCCAGACAGTATTGAAACCAGAGGATCAATATGAGAACCAGATATTTGGCACTTTCAAAAGAAGATCAGAAACTGTAGCTTTTTTATTCTCTCATGATGTTCTTCCCTTAGTATAGCCAGGGCAAGTCTATGCAAATGCTCTTAAATGGTTTCATTCGTAAGGCTTTCAAGAAGGGTCAAAACTAACGGAAACCACTTATCTGGGAGCCTGACCCCTAGCCCAAATAACTAAAGTATACCATTATGTAATGTAGGTAGATAGATCAATCACAAAAACATCTGCACTTTCAAAAAATTTAATTTATTTACAGTTTAACATAACAAACCACGGAGTTAATTTAAAACTCACAAAACCACATTGGCATCTCTCCCATCTTCCTCCATCCTATCATGCTGTTGGCTTCCAGTCATTGTGGTCGCTTTTGTGGTAAATAAGGCAGCCCCTCCATGGAAAAGACTTTCCGCACTCAGAACATTCAAACACCGTCTCATTGCCTAGGTTGCTCTGGTGCCTCTGTAAGGCTTTCTTGTTCACAAAATATCTCCCACAAGCCGAGCATGTGTGGGGTGTCTCAGCCATGTGGAACCTTTGGTGGCTAAAGAGGTCCACCTTGCGACTGAAACACTGCTCGCATTCAGAGCAGGCATATGGCTTGAACTCCATCTCCGGATGAGTCTTCCAGTGCGACCTGAGGCACGATTTGTCCGCAAAGCTCTTGCCGCATTCGGAACATGCGAACGGCCGCTCCCCTGTGTGAATCCGCTGATGTTGGTGCAGAGAATAATTGGATACAAAGCATTTCCTGCACACAGAACAGGAAAAACGCTTCTCATGTTGACGCAGGTGGACCGACAGGCTACGCTTCTCTCCAAAGCATTTCCCACATGTGTGGCAAGTGTACGGCTTCTCCCCAGAGTGAACTAGTTTATGTTTAAGGAGATTGGACTCCATGGGAAAACTCCTCCCGCATTCCGAACAGGAAAAGACTTTCTTCCCGGTGTGCGCCCTCTGATGTCGAATAAGGTAGGATTCCTCTGTAAATATGTCACCACATTCTGCACAAGATAACGTGTCCCCCGTGTGAATTTTCAGATGGCTGAGAAGATAGGACTGGTCGCTGAAACACAGGCCACACTGGGAGCAGGACAGTGGCTTCTCCTCTTTTGTGTGACTCATTTTGTGCACCATCAGCTTTGCTCTCTCGTTGAAACATCTTCCGCATTCGGGACAAGGGTACATCTTCTGCATTGTGTGACTTCTCCGATGTGAGAGGAGCTCTGCTCTCTCGGTAAAACATTGGCTGCACTCGGAACAGGGAAATATTTTGACGCCTTTGTGACATCCATCGCAGGAAATAAGAAAGGGGGAAGAATAGGAAGAGTTAAATATAGAGCGCAGGGTTCCATGTCAGCATAGCACTCCCTGGAGAGATCTGTACTCTCGAAGGCAAAAATGTCAAACACAAGGGCCGAATCTGGCTCACCAGGCCTTGTGATGTGACCCTTGCACCCAGTTTTGCAGCCAGAATGGAGTTCTGCCACTTCTGGTTCTCACCTTCTGCTCCCTCTTCCCACTGTCACCTCCTGTGTTTACAAGGGACAGATTTGCTCTCAGTGGCACCCAGAACTAACAGATCCCTACACACACTCATGGCAGGGACAGATCTCTTGAATCTGAGAAAGAGAGAGAATGATCTTCCTTCGAGGCGAGGTAGAGCCGCCTACACACAGATGTACTAGAGCCAGGGCAAGGTAGGAGAGACAGAAGTGAGTTGCACTCTGTACATAGCACACCCCTAAACCTTGCACTCCATACATAGCGCACCCCTAAACTCTTCCTGTAACGCACTCCTGAACCCTGTACCCTGTGCATAACCCACTCCTGAACTCTACACTCTGTGCATAGGGCACACCTGAACACTGCACTATGTATATAATGCACTACTGAATTCCACACTCTGTACATAGTGCACCCCTGAACCAGGGACTCTATACATAACCCACCCCAGAACTCTGTGCATACTGTACCCCTGAACCCTGCACTCTGTGCGTAACGCACGCCTGAACCCTGCACTCTGTGCGTAGCGCACGCCTGAACCCTGCACTCTGTGCATAGGCTACGCCTGAACCCTTCACTCTGTATATAATGCACTCCTGAAGTCCACACTCTGTACATAGCACACCCCTGAACCCTGAACTCTATACATAACCCACCCCAGAACTCTGTGCGTAGCGCACGCCTGAACCCTGCACTCTGTGCGTAGCGCACGCCTGAACCCTGCACTCTGTGCATAGGGCACGCCTGAACCCCGCACTCTGTGCATAGGGCACGCCTGAACCCCGCACTCTGTGCATAGGGCACACCTGAAACCTGCACTCTGTGCGTAGGGCACCCCTGAACCCTGCCACCCTATGCTAACATAGAGGCCAAAGCAGATGGTACACATGCTTCCAAATGCAACCCATCCAAGTGAATTGGATTAAGTGAATTGGTGTTGCAGTCACATGCAATGCATGCCATTGCCAGGTAGTGCTGTGGGCTTTCAAGTGTTAAAAAAGGCATCCAGGAGGCAACATATTGACTCCCAACTACCTGTCAACTGCCACAGATTGATTTTCAGAGGGCAATGCAAGTGTAAACACACCTTTCAAATCCAACCTGATGTTTTAAAAAAGGCGCCATAGCGACACAATTCAAAATTGGGCAGTTGTAGTGACTGTATAAGGAAGATCCTGGACTCCTCTCTGGAATTAGTGTTTACTACTCACCTGGGCTGATATCCGGAGGGATTTCTTCCTCTTTACATGGATCATCACCCATCACATAGGGGCCTTCTTCTTCTTTCACTTCAACTTTTATGTCAATTAGGTTTACACTCTTAAAAACACCAAACAATACAATTATATTTGTTGACCGAGACCCAATGATGCTCTGTGTAATAAGTAATTTGTAAGACACCTACCTGATCCTCCTGAGGGATCTCCTGATGTTCCTGTATGGAGTCCCAGGAACACAGAGGACGGGGACATCTCTCTGGTGCGTTCCCATTACTGGAGCCATCTGCAGGGAACACACACACTGACTGAATACATTGTTTCTATGTCTTTCTATCAGAGCATGTGTGTGTCTAGGTGGATCCTCAATACAAGAAATGAAAGTCTCCTCTTACCTGGTGATGTGAGGGGCGGCCAGTTCTCCATCATGACGTCCTCGTAGAGATCCTTGTGTCCTTCTATATACTCCCACTCCTCCATGGAGAAATAGACAGTGACATCCTGACACCTTATAGGAACCTGACACACACAATGATACAGTCACCATCCAGACACATCCCTTGTCTGTTTCTGGAGAATGTCTCAGAATTCCCAGTACCGCTCACCTCTCTCGTCAGCAGCTCTATGATCTTCTGGGTGACTTCTAGGATCTTCTTCTTGTTTTTTCGCTCACGCTCCATGATGGGGCTGCAGTTTCTGTTCCATCCTGTTGACGCGCAAGGACTACTGTTGGGTGTCAAATAATGACCAGATGTCTTCTTTATTATGATGTAGTCCTGTGTATTGAAAGATCATCAGTTATTACACAAAAAATTTATTCCAGTAGGAATTGACAGTATTATACTTTTTCAATATTTTAACAAGAGTGTATGTATGTAAGAAGATTTTCTCTCTCCAGTCCACTATTCACAAAAAATCTAATCGAGGTGAATGTGATGTCACGTGACCTCCCAGAATCCTCCTCACCTCTCCAGTCAGCAGGTAGATGATCTCCAGGGTGAGGTTTAATATCCTCTCGGTCATGAGACTCCGTTCCTTCTCCATCCTCAAGGATTGGACCAGTAATGGACTCTGTTGCTCAGGGGAGGTACTCTGTTCTGCAGCAAGGAAAAAATGGCACCGTTCAGTTATTCTTCACTGATATGATAGACTCGTTTTCTCTTCTGTCGCAGTCTAAAAAATGGAGTCTTCAGTTCCCTAAAGACATAACTGCTGCGTTTGCTGTGGGCACCCGTAAACTGATTTTGCGGTACTTTGGTAAACTATCCTAAGCATTAGCCTGGTAATAGGTAAGTTCCAATAAGGTGTCTATTTAGGAGAATGGGAGATGGCGAGATATGATGATATAATAATGCAGTCTTTCTCAACCTATTACCCTGGGGGAACCTTAGACATAATGTGTGTGACTAAAACATATCATTGGGGGTTAGTGGAAAGAATATCCCTTACACTGGTGACTGGATGGGAAGAATGCCTGGATGGTCGATGATAAGAATGCCCCCTACATTGGTGATTGGTGGGAAGAATGCCCCCTACATTGCTAATCAGCGGGAAGAATGCCCCTTACATTGGTAATCAGTGGGAAGAATGTCCCTTACATTGGTGGTCAGTGGGAAGAATGTCCCTTACATTGGTGGTCAGTGGGAAGAATGTCCCTTACATTGGGGGTCAGTGAGAAAAATGTTCCTTACATTGGTGATCAGTGGGAAGAATGTCCCTTACATTGGGGGTCAGTGAGAAGAAAGTCCCTTACATTGGGGGTCAGTGAGAAGAATGTCCCTTACATTGGTATTCAGTGGGAAGAATGTTCCTTATATTGGTGGTCATTGGGAAGAATGTCCCTTATATTGGTGGTCAGTGGGAAGAATGTCCCTTACATTGGTGGTCAGTGGGAAGAAAGTCCCTTACATTGGTGGTCAGTGGGAAAAATGGCCTTTACATTGGTAATCAGTGGAAATAATGCCTCTTACGTTGGTGGTTGACAGGAAGAATGTTCCTTACATTGCTGGTCAGTGGGAATAATGCTCCTCACATTGGTGGTCAGAGGGAAGAATGCCCCCCTTACATATAGCTAAAAAGATGATTGCTGTAAAGCCTGACTTGAGTCGGTGGTTTTGGACTTGGATCTATGCAGGCACATCAGATGGAAGGTCAATCTGTAGGCAGGTGCAGTCTTTTCTCCAATGTAGGTGGCGCACCACAGCTGGGGAGGAAGTCCAATAGAAACTTGGTCTCTCTATGGTTTTCCGGGTCAAATGGAGCAGTGTTACGATTGGCTACGCTGCGGCCATGTGACCCTCGGTGGCCATCTTGGGTCAGCAAATCCTATTTAAGCCCTTTCCCTTGGGGTTTGAAACGCTTGGTGCAAGTAGGTAGTATATGGAGAGAGACCCCACTTGCCAGGGACAGCAACTAGCGGTAGAGAAAGGTTCCTGATGAGGAGGGAAAGGCTAGGGACTTGCTCACCTGTCTCCGCTCTGGGGTCCAAACCGGCCAGGCTGCACTTTACCATATAAACAGATTCTGTTGGCATTTCTCCTCAGCCACACCTGTGACTACATTAAACTGTGAATTATTTCCCTAGGTGGCACTGTCCTGCTATGGTGTTTGTAACATTGGCATTTCACTTAAGTTTTGCAACAACCGGACTGTGTGTTCACTGCCTGCACCACACTGCACCTCCCCACAAATCAGCAACAGCTCAAGAAACCCCTAGCAACCTCTGGAGGAACCCTAGATTTTCACGGAATCCTAGCCAACTAGGCTGCCTTCTGCAATAAAGCCTTGTGGGACAAAATGTTGACTCATGAAAAAAAAATAGTCTTTTGATGGCCCATTTCATGCAAGGGATATGTCTGTTTGTAACTTGAAAGTCCTTTGGAGGAGCAATGAACTAAGTGTGCAGAGAGAAAGAGAGCACACGGAGGCGAATCACGCGAAACCCGACATGTGAGCATTTTTTGGAGAACTCTAGTATACAGGAAGGATGGTAGTAGGACACAACATAGAGAACTAGTCTAGAGCAACAATGTATCACAGTACTAATAAAGAGTCTATGGACCGGCAATAGTGCACAGTAATGGGGAAACAGTCCACTGAGCGGCCAGAGGGCACAGCAAGGGTTGAACTATGCTCGAGACAGCAATAAGGGGAAATAGTCCACAGGGCAACCAGAAGGCACAGTAAAGGTAGAATGTTCTTCTGGAAGGCAATATCAGACAGCATTAGGAAGAAATAGCCCACAGGGCAACCAGAAGGCACAGTAAGGGTTTAATGATCCTCAGGATGGCAATATGGTACTGAAAAAAGCGGAAATTGTCCACAGGGCAACCAGAAGGCACAGTAAGGGTTGAATAATCCTCAGGATGGCAATATGGTCCAGCAAAAAAGGGAAATTGTCCACAGGGCAAACAGAAGGCACAGAAAGGGTTGAATGATCCTCAGGACAGCAAGATAGGACAGCAAAGGAGAAATTATCCACAGGGCAACCAAAAGGCACAGTAACGGTTGAATGATCCTCAGGATGGCAATATGGGCCAGCAAAGGGAGAAATAGTTCACAGGGCAACCAGAAGGCACAGTAAAGGTTGAATGATCCTCAGGATGGCAATATGGTCCAGCAAAAAAAAGGAAATTGTCCACAAGGCAACCAGAAGGCACATAAAGGGTTGAATGATCCTCAGGACAGCAAGATGGGACAGCAAAAGGGGAAGAACTCCACAGGTCAAGCAAAAGGCACAGTAACGGTTGAATGATCCTCATGATGGCAATATGGGACAAAAAGGGAGAAATTGTCCACAGGGCAAACAAAAGGCACAGTAGGGTTGAATGATCCTCAGGACGACAATTTGAGAAAGCAAAAGGGGAAGCAATCCACTGGACGACCAGAGAGCGCAGCAAGAGTTGAATTTGGCACACAGGGCAAGATTCTGTGGCAGAATGGAGTTTAGCACAGCCTGGGTTAAGTCCTTAGCACACGGGGCAGGGATCCGGGCAGAGCAGAACTTGACACGGCAGAGATTATGATTATGTCCAGTACACAGCGCAAAGCACACAGCAAAGATGGACAACACTCTGGTACAGTAGGTGTTAAGTCCTCGGTACAGCCTGGCAAGGGTGGGCAGCCCTCTGGTATAGTAGAGGTTAATGACTCACCAACCAGCAGTGGAAGTTCAGGCAACTGGCAGGGTAAAGGAGGTCCAACAGGCAGAGGTCCTTCATAGGCACACGGTTCCTCAGAGGGTTGCGTTTCCGGACCACACAGAGAGCAGTTGCGGGAAGAGCAAAGAGGAGAGCAGAGGTCCAGTATCCAGGAAGCCGCAGGACAATATGGAACCACAAGTCCCAGCAGTTCAGAAAGCAAAGTACAGCCCATACGGAACTGTCTCAGATAATCTATGCATTGAAATTAAAGTGACTTGTTTTTTTTCGGCAAACCACCATGTGTTAGGCATATTACTGCTGCATCCTTTAAAAACCCCCACTCACAATCATACAACACCCCACCACACATCACATGCTCACCCGTCTCCTCTGCACAGATCATAACTAACATTTATTAGGAAAGACCTCATATTACCTCCACAGTGTGCCTCCAATTATCACACAAGAACATATAGAGGAGATATGTGACAACTGGAGACGTCTCTCATGTGGACTACAAGAAAATGGCTGCCACACTCACACTGCAAGAGTACTTTTATAACATACAGCTCCAAAATCAGACTTGTACAGAAAAGATAGGGAGTGGCTGCATTGCTATTGTTAGACAAGACTGTTGTTTTGTTCAAGAAAAATAAAGCTGGTAAAGAGAAATTACACACTGAGACTTCAACAAAATGGCAACTGCTCCTCCTACACTGAGGACATTTAAATAGCATATTATTATTGTTAATATCTGCTAGAGTTTCATTATTTTTTAAAACAATAAGATTTAATTTCATCATGATCAATTATCCACACTGGTTGAGCTTGGAAATCATTCTAGTTTTTCATACAAACTAAAATAAATATGTGGACTACAAAAAAATGTCCGACACCTCTCCTGTACTGAGGACACTTTCTCATCTCACAGGCAGAAGGGCTATTACTAGTATTGGTTGTAGCTCAATGAGCAGTAAGTGTATCCACAGACCAATACATTTCTCTATGTGGTTACCTGGGCTCAGGATTGGCAGGACCAAATACATTTTAGCATAGGGTGACCAGACATCCCTGGTTTCGAGGGACTGTCCCCGTTTTTGGGATAAAACCGTTCCTGGCAGCTGAGTATACCTCTCATAAGTCAAAAATAACCAACACGTCTCCTTTCCTGAGGACACTTCCTCATCTCACAGGCAGAAGGGCTATTACTAGTGGTGGTTGTGGCTCAATGAAAAGTAAGGGTATCCACAGACCAATACATTTCTCTATGTGGTTACCTGGGCTCAGGATTGGCAGGACCAAATACATTTTAGCATCGGGTGACCAGACATCCCTGGTTTCGAGGAACTGTTCCCGTTTTTGGGATAAAAGCATTCCTGGCAGCTGAGTATGCCTCTCTAAAGTCAAAAATGGCCAACACGTCTCCTTTCCTGAGGACACTTCCTCATCTCACAGGCAGAAGGGCTATTACTAGTGGTGGTTGTGGCTTAATGAGCAGTAAGGGTATCCACAGACCAATAAGTTTCTCTATGTGGATACCTGGGCTCAGGATTGGCAGGACCAAATAAATTTTAGCATAGGGTGACCAGACATCACTGGTTTCGAGGGACTGTCCGATTTTGGGATAAAAGTGTTCCTGGCAGCTGAGTATACCTCTCAAAAGTCCTTGGTTCCATGGACCTGTCCTAGGCTTTTAACAAAATCATGGTGTCCTGCTGATTTGGGCTTTGTCCTGAACAGGGTTGCCAACTGTACGTAAAAATAGGCAGGCTCTGGCAGTAGAAGCCCTGGTCTCCAATTTCATCAGTCTCCAGTACTCACCCCTTTGGGTAACCAGTGTCAGGCTTCATTTATATCGACACTCAGACCCATACAGCACGAATAGCCAAAGGACCACAGGTCTCGCACCAGTAACGTATCATGTTCCTTTTCAGGAACACTTCTCCTCATGCCATTCCAAGTCATGTGGAACAAAACTGCACTCCAGGAAAACTCATGCTTTACCAGAATCACGTGGTGTAAAACCAAAGTCCAAGAACACTTTTCCTTACACTGTTCCAGGTCATATGGTGTGAAGTCACAGTGCTGCACTCTCCCAGCAGAGTCCCATAGAATGTCCAGTTGTCAATGATCTGTACTTCAATCGCAGTCTCAATGACCTCACCGTCACCCTTGCAGCACTGGTGTCTTGTACTCACTGTTGATATCCCTCCAGGATCTCTCTAGTGATGGAGATGTAGACTCTCACCACCTGTTGGACACCTCTTTCCCAAAGCTTCCCACCAGCTCTGTCCCGTGAGCTCTCTCCTGACACTCTGGATTCTTGGGTTGCTATGCAAATAGGCCACCCAGCTAAGCCTAGCTGGGACCTCTGTGTCTTTAGGCTGGCTTCCTTCCTGGCTTCTGCCCAGAAGGCCAAGGCTCCGCAATAGGGGATCCAATCCTGCACACTGGACTTAAGAACAATGCCCTACACCCACATACTGCAAGCTGCCACTGCTGCTTGACGTACAGACTATTTATGGCCTCTTCCCTGCCTTCTGGGCACACCTCCCCAGGGAAGTCCCATAAAGTATCAGGCTGCAGCCTCTGCTCTCTATCCCACTATGTTCCAGAACTCTCTGAAAGACAAGGGGAAGTAGCAGAGCAGCAGCCTGTGAAACCCTGAGCAGTCCCAGTGTACCAACCCCTGCTCTACTAATTACAGTGGAGCTAAAACTAAATTTCACCTAGCAGCCTACTCTAACTAGGAGGGTGCTACATGTAAAGTAGATAGATCACAAAAACATCTGCTGTCTTAAAAAATGTAATTTATTTACAGTTTAATGAAGCCACTCACAGAGTTCATGTAAAACACTCAAAACCACATTGGCA